ATTCAGATTCCTCATTTATAAAGTGGAGGTTACATTAGTAAATAAATGCTTGGCTTACTCACTTGCAGGGTTGTTGTCAAGATTAAGTGAGGCAATATAGGAAAAATGCCCTGTAAATAGTAAAGCAGTATATAAGCAAAGAGATTCTGCTAATTATCATGTTGAATTGAACATAGTAAAAATTCAGAGTACATGAAATTACCTAGGAGAGAGAAGAGGGGAGAGGAGAGAGGAGAGAGAATGAAAAATAGGGAGAGATGAAGAGGGTGGGAGAGAGAGAGAGAGACAGAGAGAGATTGATTAAGAGAATGCCTAAGGAATGCCTAGAGTATACAGGAAAGGAGAAAGGTAAACCAGGGAAGAAAGTAGCAGAAAAGTAATATACTGTCATAGAAGCCAAGAAACAGTACAGAAATATAGCCAATGGCTTTGGAGAAGTGGCAAGGTTAGGAAATGCCCATTTAGTTTAAGGACAATCTGAGCATTTTTATAGATAGAACAAGAGCCAGTAGATGGGAATAAATATACAAAAGAGGGGTGAAGATTAAGATGGCCATAGTAAGATAGTACCATGTGTTGGTGAGGAAATAGAGAATTTAGACTCCTACCATATTGTTTGTGGGAATGTGAAACAATGCATTTGAGAATTCTTTGGCAGTTCCTCAAAGTGTTAAACATAGTTTCCATATGACTCAGTAATTCCACTCCTTGGTATATACCAATGAAAACATATACACACAGAAATTTACACATGAATGCATATAGCAGCATTATTCATAATAGCCCCAAAGTGAAAAAAGAGTCCATTGACAGATATGGTATATCTACTAATGGAATATTATTCACCTATAAAAAGTACGGACATGTACTACAACATGGATGAAACTTGAAGACATTATGCTGAGTGAAAGACACCAGACACAGAAGGCCATTTAGTGTACGGTTGCATTTATTGGAAATGTTCAGAATTAGGTAAATCTATATGGAGAGAAAGCAGATCAGTGATTATCTACAGTAGTGGGTATGGCTGGGAGGAAATGGAGAGTGACCACTAATGTGCATGGGGTTTATTTTTGGGATGAAAATGTTTTGGAAACAACTATGATGGTTGCATAACTTTGTGGCTCTAATAAGCACTAAATGTACACTTCCAAAGGGTGAATTTTATGGTTGTGAATTGTATCATAATTAAAAAAAGAGTAGAGGAGGAAAGAGAGGGGCAACAGTCAGAGCATAATTGGAAAGATTAGCTTTGGGGCTGAGGATTTAGCTCAACGGCACAGCGCCTGCCTGGAAAGCTCGAGGTCGTGAGTTCGATTCCTGGTACCAGAAAAAAAAAAAAAGAAAAAGAAAAAGATTAGCTTTGGCAAGAATGTCATCTCTTCTGCGTGAGAAACTTTGGGGTGGAGTTAAATTCACAGTGGAGGACTTTAATGACAGCTAATACTTGCTATGTGCCAGGCATTTTTCTAATTGTTTTATGTATTTTAATTCTCAAAAACCCTATGAGGTAGGTACTATTATCATGCCTTTTACAGACGGGAGAGCTGACACACAGAGAGAACGTGCTTAAAGGCACGAAGGTTGTATAAAAGTCAGAGCTCAGATGTGAACCCAGATTGGCTCCAATGCCTAACATTTATCACTGTATTGCATGGGATTTCTGTGTATACTTCCTCAATAAAATGGGTAAGGCTGAGTGCTGAGAGTGACAAGCGCTGAGAGCATATGCAGGACTTATAAACAGAAAAGGTTAAAAAAACAAAAACACTACCATGAAGAGCATGAGTGGGAGTCAACGAGTGGAATTTTGTCCAGTGTTGGGAGTAGCAGAGGCCTAGCAGAAGCCATTTCTCCATTCTTACCAACATCAACAGCTTTTCCTGCTTTCTCCCCCTATTGTTCTCTTGCCACAGGTCTGGGGTGGGGGTTTTCTTATGTGGACCTCAGAGTTTGGCAAAGGACCTGCGCAAATGCTGTCACCGATATTCCAGTCTGGATCCTAGGAAGGTTCAATTCTACTTCAACAAAGAAAACTTCTGAACTACAGGAAAAAATACAGCAGTGTGTTTTGTTTCTGCTTTGTATCTTCACCAGCTTCCTTGTCTCATCAGGTTTGGGCAGTGGACTCTCCAACATTATTTTTAAAACTTGGCGTTCAACTTCATTATACTTGAGCTTCACCAACCTAGGAACTGAGGAGGTCATTATAATTACAAAGTCCATGGATCCTTTCTTGGGAAAATAATCCAAAATTCATGTGGAAAGCTATGACTGCAGCAAAACTTGACAGCAGAGCTTCAGAGGTTGACAGTTACACAAATGAACCATAGTCAACTTTGTTGACTCCAATTTCTAGAATCTGCTTCATAATCTTCCCTCCCTCCTTCCCTCACAGAAGATGTCTAAGTAGCATGACTTTTAAAATAAAAATTTATTGAGTTGGTGACAAAACATAACCATAAATAATAAACAGTGAACATAAAATTACCAAGAACCCTCTTCTCCATACAATACGAACGGGGTACATTCTGTAACTTTAACCAATTTATGCTTTACTTTAGTCAAAAAATGAGATTTTCTTTGCTTAAGGAATAAATCTTTTGTCCCTTTTCCCTGGGCTTTCCATTGAGAAAGGAAATATTAAAATATGCCCATTGTAATTAAAATTGTATTATAATAAAAAGCTAGTCATGTATTATTCTGTTGGAAATAACTGGAAAACTTGATCTCCAAATGGGATAACTTACTGAGCCAGCAGCAGCTCTTTACCACCGTTTTCATTAAGGGGTTTTATTAATGTCGTGTGAAAAATAATTAACAATTTTGATAGATGTTTTTGGTTTCTACCTACCTATTCTTTTTTAATTTTTTTTTTCCAGTACCAGGAATCGAACTCATGACCATGCACTTGCCAGGCAGGTGCTGTGCGACTGAGCTAAATCCCCAGCCCCCTACCTATCCTCTAAGGAGTCATCCATCTAATTACATAAGGAAAATGCCTTTCTTTGTTCTATCCATGTTTATTTCTCCCATCTATCCAACTTCGTATATTATGTCCGCCCTAGCTCTAGGATGCCAGTAATCACAGTGAACCACTTGGAGAAAAGAAGCCCCCGGCTCTCAAAAGAGGAGAAAACCCCCCCACACTCCATTGTGCTCAAAGACAGTTCAATTCATTATCTATTCATAAGGATGCTTGTCCTGGATTAGCATGACAGCACCTATATTTCTACCATTAAGTGATCAAGAATGAGCAAGTTGTTCTAATTATCTAGGGACCTTCACAGCTTGAAGGATTAATTACATTGTATTTTTTCAGTCACTGAAACACAATCCATGTAGGATATGAACACGTGGCAGCTGTGTCAGTACACCAGTAAAAAAATACTGGTGAGTGTTTTGGGGTGCCACTGCTATTGCCATTTTGTTCACCCACATTTCAGCTACCTAAATTAAGCTTAATAAGGCTTTGGGAAAATACACAATGGAAGCTTGAAGATATAGTTGGTTCCTATTAGATAACTGATTACTAAATAATTTCATCTTCATTGATCTAGTTTTGTAACCTGAGGTCTTTGAGACCTATGACATTTTAACAAGAAATGCTTCCTTCTTTATCTCAATGTTGAAATATATTGACACTTTATGATGGCTGCCAAAATCAAGAGATGAAGGACTGAATAGTAGGCAGAAAAACATAATAAAAAGAAACCCTATGCATAATTAAAATCCAAGGTGAATTAGGGATGAAGATACCCAGAACACTCCTTAGCTAACTTGACCTTTTCTCGCTAGGTTGTCGTATGCAATATCCAACAAATTTTCATTGTAATGTTCACACAGATTAGAAAATCCTCAATTTTAGTAATTCTCATGAAGTTGATTATCTATGCACTATTTTGCCTGACATGTAAGCAATACGCTATTACATTCTTTAAGCCTATGTCAGGCTTTTAAGTCACCTGACCATAATCTGAACCCACAGGATGAGATTCTGAGAATATAAATAGGCTCAAAAGTAGTTCTAGTAGAATTTTACTAATTATTAAGGCAACTCTTAACCTCTAGAGGTCCGCCTGATGGACAGAAAACATGTTCCTCCTTAATGCCACCATGAGAGAATACTAGGCCAGGAGACCCACAGGTATGAATGAGTTAGTGGCACTAATTATGTTTAAAACTACCTCCAAGTAAGCGGGCGGGGCAGACCTACAGGGCAGCCTGACTGCTTGTGATCTACATTTGATCCTCTTATAATAACTGAGAAGAATGTAAAGAGTTTTAGGGTTTTCTATGTTTTAAGTTCCAAGAATAAATTTGCTTATAGGGTAGAGAGCTATGTAGAGCTATAGGTTAGTGACTTTTTGGAGGATAGGATGAAATGTATTTTGTTCCTTTGATTTCTGTTCAGTTTTTCATTCGACTTCAACGTGAAAAACTAGTGGCTTTTGAAAGTTGACCTCTTAGACTGAGGAGTTTTAGAACAGACAAGTAAAATGTCAATTTTCGCTTGTGTTGCTGACACACACTCAAATCAGTGCCAACAATCTGTCTTAACTCTGAACTATATGTGGTCAGACCTGATATTGACCAAAAAAAATGCAATTTGCTATTTGGATTTTTCTAAATTAAACACAATGCTGTGGTAGGTGCTTTGTTTTGTTGGCTTTTTGACCATTTTATAGCTCCAAGCACATCCTAATCTCTCCCACAAGACTCAGCTGTTCTAGAAAGTTTCCAAAGGATAAAGCCTTATAATTCTTGCTGAAAGCAAACTAAACAAAGACCAAGTTCCAGCAAACATTGCTACGGAGAAGTTCTCCAATTATCATGAAGAGCCATAAGTGGTTAAGCTACAGTAAACACAGTGCAACGGCAATATAACATTAAAGTCCAATGCTGCAGCAAGGGTAGAAAATACACTGAAGGTTTCATTCTTGGAGCTCAGCTTTTTAAAAGCAAAAAGGTCATGTAGATTAATTTGCAGTGTACTAAAATTGTGTTCAAAGTTTATTTGAAGTCACAGAAAATATACAAACTAAAACAATAAGAGGAGCTGATTTTGTTCTGAGGGAAGGTGATGGGAGTCCTCCACCTGGCACCAATCTGAGTCATTCAAGGGTTAGGCTGCAGAATTCACCTACTTTCAACATTTCAACAATGTTATGGAATTAACTTCCAGAATTGTTGCCAGGTATTTTTGAAAACCTGTAAGAAAAAGTGGGGAAAAAGCTATTAGAAGTAGAGACAAATTCTCTTCCCCAAACATCAGGAAAAAGACAAAAAGGCCAGGCAAGGAGGATATGCATAAGATCAAACTGCTGGGACAGACTTTCTAGATGTTTGTCTCCTGCCTGCCCAAAGCAATCATCCTTTGTAACAGAGTTTCTCAAGCACAGCTACACTGACATTTTGAGTTGGAGCACTCCGTGATATGGGTGGGGAGGTGAATATCCTGCACCTTCTACATGTTCAGGAAGATCGCTGATCTGTGCGCACTGAAGTTCAGTGCCATACTATATTCCTAGAGCTCTGACAGCCAAACATGTCTCTAGACAGGGCCAAATGTCCCTTATGGAGCAAAACTGATCCTGGCTGAGAAACACTTATTTCTAACGGTAATCATAAAGAATCCTGTCAGTGATGGCAGAGAGGGACCAGCCACAGTAAGTACAAATACCAGCAGACATAGTAAAATCTTGCCCACATAAAATTGCAGTTGTAGTCTCACACACAGGCATAAATTAGTGTAGGTTTTAAAAAGTGGTCAAAACTGAGTAAGGTTTATCGTCTAGTTCACAGTAACGTACCAATGTCAATTTCTTGGTTTTATACTACATAGCAAAAAGATGTTCTTGTTGGGGGAAGCTGGTTGAAGGGGACATGAGGCTCTGTACTATTTTTCAACTTCCTGTGAATCTATGATTATTTTAAAAGGTAAAAAACAGACAAAACCCTGCCCTCTGGTTAATGTGCACGGCTTTAAATCAATTATCCCATCAGCAAGAAGAATGAAACAATTTTCAGAAATATTTCTGCCTGCACTATTTAAAAACAGTAATTTTCTCACATTACAGAGAATGCCTGCTCTGGCATAAGGAAATTCCTTTGAATATAATACACAGTCCATGTTTTTACTGATGAAATAGAGTATTGGGGGAATCTGGACAAAAAGTCAAAGTGCTGGTCATATCAAAAGTTTAGATCACAGCCATCCATCTATGATATCTTCCGATCACAGTTCGGTCAATTAAAGTCTAAAAACAGATATGATACATATTTGCAGTTCGGATGTTTTAAAGACATTACAAATATGGGTTAAATATGATATACTTAATAAAACTGCTAATTACTGGGAGTTCAGTATTATATGATACTATGTGGATGGAAATTGTAACACGGATAGAGTAAAAAGGATATTCAAAAGGAGATATTCCAATAGATATTGGGTCAATGTGAATTTTAAACTTTTTTGGAAAACAGAATTGTTTATGACATACAATGTTGAGGGAGTGAATACTTTGAAAGAAATAACAATATGTGTCAAGTTAAGTCACATGATTATTTATGAGGCAGTTTACCTGAATCTTTTTCACCTGACTGACGAGCAAGAAAAATAAGGGTGGCGGTGTACCGTAGTCCCCAAAATGTATAGAAACCGAGGGTGATGGTGGATATTTACTACTTTAAATGTGCTGTAATAGTTTCACATCCAAATAGTCATTAGAAAACAAGTACTAGCAACTGATGTATCTACACATTTTACTGAAATCTTTTGTACTTTTCCATTTTGATGAGGCAGTTTGGAATAAAACAATACAACTGATTCTGGAAGGATACAGGCTAAACTATGGGCTCTATTTGGGGAATGAGATCAAGGAAGCAGGGCTTTGTGTGTTTAATTTTCTACAGTGCAGTATCTGATTCATTTTGTTAAACTGATAGTGTATTATCTAGTCACTTGGAAAGGGTAAAAAAGAATATAAGCAATTCAACAACTGAACAAATGTTCTACTGCCTTACCCTACCATCAAGGTGCTGACTACCCAGGGTAAACAGCATCCAGTGCAGAAGACTGAGCGCTTCAGAGAGAACACTGTTTTTGGTTGAAAGTGCATACACCAATACACAAGGGGTTAGTCCTGCTCAGGTGGGACTAAGTCTGCTCACCTTTCAAGGTGCTCCAGTGGATTTCTGTATTTGTTCCTTTAAGATTAGGATACTCTGCCTTTGCTCAGGAGGCAGCATGGCAATCTGATCCGCAGTCAGTTGAAGGACCTGCATAATCAAAGCGGCCTGTGCAGAGGAAAAGAAGGTAGTAAGTTGATGGTAGCTAAAAAACAAAACAAAAAAAACAGTTCCAGCTTCTGTTCAAAAAGCTACTGTTCTGGGATATAAAGCAAAATGGAAAAGGAATGATACTTCACACAAAGAAAACAAAGAGCAGGCCAAAAAGGAAAAAAAAAAAAGTTCTGGTGAGAAAAAGGCATAATAAAAAGAATAAGTACAAATTAAAGTATCTAAGATTAGGCAATTCAAAACAGACACCTTTATCAAATCAAACTTCCTGCAGGCTAAGCTGTTATCTGTGAGCCCTGGGAATTCTTCAGTTTTTAGTACGGTTTTGACTCTTTCCTTTTCACAGGTGTTAGCCTTTCCATCAGACATGAGCTTCCCACAACGGCCACATATAAAAAAGATATGGGGAATCTACTATTGTTTCTAGGGATAAGGTAGAAAGGGGAGGAAGTAAGGGCGTTATATTTTCAGGTCAATCGGGTCTGCACAAAACAATCTGCTATTGCTAAATCAGTCTGAAATGTAAGATAAGCTGCCAGGTACAGCCACTTAAGAACTTTATAACCAGGTCCACAAATTTTCAGGCAATAAGATCATAAAAGAGTTCTAAGAGTAAACATCACCTCCAAAGGGACTTTGAAGACCCAGGATCGCCATATGGTAACTGTGAAAAGAGGAATCAAAAGGGCTGGACTTGTGAATGTGGAGGCAGTTTGTCAGTGTTGCTCACCTTCTCATGATCCTGTGGTGTGACTTGGTTTTGCCCAGGACTAAAACCACCAGGCTGGCTCCCCCCCTGCATGCCTGCTCCCTGCATGCCTGCTCCCTGCATGACTGGGACCTACGTACACAAAAAGAGAAAAGAGATTTTTCAGAGCTCCTGACATGTAGGTAACCTGAATACAGTAACAATGTGAAAAATTATGATCTCTATATGAATCTGAGCAAAAAAGCAAATCAATGAATCTGAAGATTTGTTTGTACTGTTAGTAATGACAAAAGGCAGGGTTTAGCCAGAGATCAAGCAGCAAATTAGACACAGCTGTTTTCAACAGCTTCAACATTTTCCACAAAAATCACATGGCGCAACTGGATACCATCAAACTAAACAACATGCAGCCAAATAAGCACAGGAAAAACTGAGAGCACCCTGCAATTAAGTGCTATGTGGAAACACAAATGAAAACCAACAGATTCTATAATATATGCTGGTCCGCTGGGGAAGCTACGTTCACAGAGCTGCTATCACTAGTACAATCAGGAACAGGTGGTTCATCCCTAAAGGCCTTCCCCCACAAATAAGGTAGAGATGATCATAATGTCAGGGTCAGAAAGGAAATGGGAAGGCCTTGCATGACAAAACTATTTACCCTATATTTGCGTTGTATAGTTTATCTTGGAAAATATAAAGCAGATGCTTTCTGCTCAATACAAAAAATATGACTGACCCGAGTAAAAGAATAAAGTGCAATATCATTCTTATGGAAATTTAGATATTAAACTGATAAGAACAGATACTACACTTGATCTTTGCCAAAAGGTCGAGAAGCTCTTATGGAAATTTAGGCTCTTCAGTGAGTACAACCCTTTGGAAGACAAGTTGTGTTTAATAAGAAAAGACCTTGAGAACCTAGCATAACAGTTAGATGCACCCTTACACCAGACTTATGTTTGCAGTCGGGTATTCACGCAGAGACTAGGTACTCTTGTTAAACACAACTTGTTAACAAACTGGATATGTGCTTCCCCAGAAGATCAGAAGAAGCAAAACTAAAATACAGATAAACAGTTAGGAGCAGATATTATGGCAGTAATGTAAAAAGCCTGGTGTCAGCCTGACAGTAAAGGACACCAGAAATCATGCCAGAGGCAACTATGCTCCTATATTGCAGCATATACAATAATGGATCTACTTAATGAAGACCTTGAGTAATCAAAAATGATTACCCTGTTTATATCCTGTTTAAGAATGGAAGCATAAAATATATCTTCTAAATAATTTTTTGTTAAAAGTTTTAAAATCTGGTAAATAGTTCTGTTATCTGAAAGATTTCACTTATATGCATTAACTCATTTCCTAAACAATGGGTAGATGAAGCATTAGAACAGCTTTGTGCAGACTGCAGATTATCACCATTTTGTTCTTTATCAATACTAAATCTGGAGACCTGTCTGAACCTTAATGATCTGTTATGGATCTGAAACATCTCTGAACTTAATCTATTTGAAACTTACTTATTAATTCTAACTTTACGTACTGTCATGTGAAATAACCACTCACTAATGGCTATTCTAAGTTTCCAGGAACATCTGTTCCAGGCAGGTAAGTACAATCAAGAGTGACTACACATTTTGGTTTGTCTAAGACAATCCCAGTTTACGCTTTTGCCTCAGAGTAAATTACTAACACCATTCTATTTCACTTTCTTTTTTTTGAGACAAGGTCTCACTATGCAGTTCAGGCTGGCCTTGAACTTGCAACGATCCTCCTGCCTCAGCCTCCCGAGTGCTGGGATTACAGGTGTGCACCACCATGCCTGGCTTCACTTTCAAATATGTCCTTCTAGCCAGGTGTGGTGGCACATGCCTATAACCTTAGCACTTGGGAGGCTGAGGCAGGAGAACTGCCATGAGTTCCAGGCCAGCTTGGGCTACACAGTGAGTCTAAAGCCAGCCTGAATTAAGAGACCCTGCTACAAACAATAAAAGCCCTCCTGTGGATAACAAATTACATAATCACTCTAGTAGTAATAAATGTTATTCATAAGTTTCTAACTGGATGGACTGTAAATTTTCAAAATCTTATTTCAAATGATGAAATATGGACACATTGTTATGTAAAAAGACTAAGTGTAGAACAGTGAAAGAGGGAAAAATAAAAATATATCACAAGTGAGAGAGGTATAGGAGAGGAGCTGAGGTTTTTCACATATACTTTTTATAGATTAGTGTGTATTATATGTATTTCTAAGTGAACATACTAAATTTAAAATATTTAAAAAGGTCTGAAGATGAAATTGTTATTTTCCTTAGAGCTAATTGGCTTAATAGATTATTAATAAAAACTACGTTGGGTAGATGTAGCCCAGTGGTAGAGTGCTTGCCTAGTATGTATGAGACCCGAGGTTCAATCCTCGGAGCTCCAAAAAACCAAAAACAAAACCAAAATCCCTACTCTTACAGAGTAACGAGTTAAGGTACTACTCAGAAATGGTCTTCTAAGTATTATTTTCAATGTCTTTCTCTACAGAATTCTGTAAGTACATTATGGAGTTATTTGTTGTGTCTCTCTCCAGCTAATATGTAAACTCCACAGGGGCAGGGACTTTGTTGTTCCCAATGCTATATCCGCAATATCTAGATCTATATCTGGCACATAGTGGGCACTCAGTAGATAATTCCTAATGGATGCATAAAAAAATTATTTTGAGGTTATTGAACATAGAGGGCATAATAAAAATGAAGGCCCACAAGCACATTGTTTTTTAATACCAGAACTTGACAAACAGCCTGCACATTCCAGGAAAAAAATATATGTTAATTTCAAAGTAAGAGGGAACAGGTAGACACCCACACATATCCACGCACACAAATGTGCAGATATTAGGACAGTGTAGCATGGCGGAAAAAACACTGGGCTCTGTTCCTTGCTCTGCCACTTTTTAGTTATGTCAATTTGGTCAAGTCACCTGAGTTTCTAGGCCTCAGCTTCCAAACCTATAAAATTAGGGGACTAGTTGACTGAGATGTGATCAACATGTTCCATTTCAGCTCTAACATTCTCTCTCTTCCTCTCTCTCTCCTGTTGCACACACACAAAAGGAAGAAGACACACAAACACATCGAAGAAGGAAGAGAGAAGTATGCAGAGGAAGGAGGAAAAAGGAAGGTGGCGGTACTAGAGGGAAACGAAAGTATCACATATAAAAACTGAAGGAAGATACCACCTCCTCACAATCAAATGCGATAAAGGAAGAGATGGCAACCACAGAGTAGATATACACAACAGAGGGAAATGAAGAGAGAAGAGACAGACCAGTTGTATATATTTCATTGTTTACAACTTCAGTTGTTCATTATTTTAGTATTTACTCAGGTTTTGTGATGACAACAGATTAACACCCGTTTATGCAAAGCTAAGATTACCTAAGTGACCACCGCTCGTCAGATATTCTAAGCCAGTGGTTCTTTGAGTTGCACATACAAAACGGTTTGAGAGAAGTTTTTCAAATCACCCATGCCTGGATCTTGACGGAGCTGCTGAGAGTTAGGCTGAGATCCTGGCAAGTATATTTTGGAAGACATCTTGTAGGTGATGTTGGTTTGTACTCCCAGTGAAGAGTACCTCTGGCCTCTAAATTTTCAAGGGTCCTACTCTGGATGAAATAGTTATTGAAACTGTAGAGTAAGGTTGTTCTTTTGGATTACAATCCTGGTGGGCAGAAAAATCACCTCCCAAGGGACAGAAAAAGGGAGAACCTAGTGTGAGAAATAGTTCTAGTCAGAAGGCAGTAGTAATCAGGCTCAATAAGCATCCTAAATAGACCAAGACTTTACACACCTGTCTAGATCCCTGTGGGCCAACTGCCCCAATGTTAATTGGACTGGGGCCCTGGATTCCACTAGGTATAGGTCCTCTAGGGCCTGGCACTGGGCCCCTGGTATCCATGCCTCTGGCCTCCATCCCTCGGACTTCCATGGCACGGGCCTCCATGGCACGGGCCTCCATGGCGCGGGCCTCCATGGCACGAGCCTCCATGGCACGGGCATCCATTCCTCTGGCATCTAAACCTCTTGCCTCCATGGCTCGGGCCTCCATCCCTCGTGCATCTATTCCCCGTGGATCTCTTCCACCTGTAAAGTTGTAAGAAAACCCCATGAAGCTACTCACCTGTATTATAAGAGCTAACAATTCAAGAAAGACGGACATCTATTCTTCTAATCAGATCTCCGTTCAATTACGCATGACTCCTCCTTAGTTTCTCAGACTTGCAGGTAAACCTTGATGCTTACCAACCATATTTCCCTAGCAGTTCTTATTCCACACTAGAGATAAAGATAGCTGAAGTTTTTATTAACCCACAACTACAAATTAGCTTCATGACATGGTCTTCCCTTACCTCTACCATCCAAAGGTGGACCCCTTTGATCTAGCATGGGTCCTCTCGGCTCTGCCATTAGAGGTCTGGGTTCAGCTATTGGCGCTCCCCTCATCTCATGTGGGGGCGGTCCACGGCCTTCATGGCCAGGAACATGGTGCATGGGTGGACCCTGATGAGGTGGTCCCAGGTAACCTCTACAGGTGGAGAAAAATGTTATATTTAAAACGGAACCAACAACAACAATAAAGTATCAACTAGAAGATCAGTAAGTAAACATCTGACCAAGAAGTGACATAAACATTAGTCAATAAATGGACAGAAGTGAAGCTATAGTGGCATAAATCCACATAGTCTAGAATTTCCAATTGGGAGCACTCATAATTAGGGAGGAATTAACAGATAGTCACTAAATGTATAATGGGCACACAAACTTGTACTTACAGGTTCTAGATTCAAACGGAATGGGTCAAATCTAGGCTCTCTCAGTTATTACAGGATGCATGATTTGGGGCACATTACCATTCTTCTCCATGACTTGGCTTCTCCATTTGTCAAATGAGACTAATAATATCCACCTTCTAGGGCTGTGTGGATTTATTAATTGCTTGAAGGGCTGGGGATAGAACACAGGGCCTTGTGCGTGGCAGGCAAAACACTCTGCCACTGAGCTACATGCCCAATCTAGGTTGTATAGATCCAAATATGATGATCTAGGTAAAGTACTTGGAGCTAAGTCAGAGATACAATTTCCATTAATGTCAACTACTGTCAGTATTGCTATTACTAATATTACCACTACCATTAAGTTTCCTTTGTCCAGATATGTGTATTTCTCAAAATGTAGAAGTCCAGATTAGCTTAAAGTGATGAACTAAACTATATAGTTCTGCTTTATGAGAAGTGCTTAGTCTTGGACAGTGACCTTGAATATTTACCTTTGAAATAGGCAAACAGGTACAAGTGATGCAGAAAGACTTTGTTCTCAAAGCAAGGAAAAATCTTGATTTCTCAGTTTCATCTGTCAGTGCTTACCTAGGCTCTACCTCTCCAGTTACAGAGAGTAAAGTGCCTCCCCGTGGGTCATTCGGAGCATCTCCTAACAGACCTCGAGGAGTTGGGACATTGGCAGGCAAGGATCCCCGCTGCATAGCGGCTCTAGGGTCTTGCATCGGCACTGACAGGAAAACAAACAGGGAGTTACTGCTGTGAAGGACACATAAGGAAACAAGAAATGACTCTATATACCACTGACAACATAATTCAGACACCTTAGAGTGGGTGAAACCTCACCACAGCAGAATCCTCTTGCAGCTCAAGAACAGAAGCAGGGTGTAGGCAGAATCTGTGCCATGTCAGAGGTATGGATGGAATTTATAAAGAGCAAACTGGGGAGCAACCTGCCAAGGACTAGCACTGCGACCTGAAGAAACTTATGCTCCTGGTTTTCCATCTACTCAATCTTAGTTCAAGGACCAGAGGCACAAAAGAGGTAGGGTCTTGGCATATGTGAACACTGCCATGGCTCTGCAAGAACCCGCTGTCTCCTTACAGACTGCTATTCCATCCAAGCCTCCTGACACCAGTAGGGAGGGAGTACAGCCTCGGACAGATGCCCATATCATCCATGTTCTCTGCCCTGTGTGAAGAGGTCAATCTTAGGCTTGTGGCCTCAACAGGTAAAAACAAAAACAAAAAAAACCCAAAAAACCCCCAAAAGCACTACCCTTTTGGGTTCTGAACGTGAGGATGACTGCCAAGCAGCTCTCTTCCTCTCAACGTCCCACCCTGAACACCACAAGCAAAAGGAAACCCGCAGATACAATGGGTACCTTGAACTCGCTCAATTGATGCAGGCCCGGCGGGTCCCACTGGCGAGTGTTGTAGGGTTCCTAGGTGAGCATTAAGTTTAAAAGGAGAAAGAGTAGACACTTAAAATAGCTCTCTCTCTCTCTCTCTCTCTCTCACACACACACACACACACACACACACACACACAGAAACATATATGTATGGAGATTGGAGATTTATACGTTTAAGTTAAAATGCCAAGAGTTCATTAGCTTGTCTCTGGCTACAAAATCTTCCTAAGCTATAAAAGCTCCTCTGGGTATGTGAAATGGTGCCGCTTTGACCAGATAGCCTCCTAAAGGGAAACTGTGGGCCACTGGTTTATCTGGGCAGGAATAACCAGTGATTCTGAATCTTTCTCTCTGTTACTGATACATTTTCCCCTAAATCTCCCTAAAATACCATTATGAAAGAGAAGAAACAAAATACTGAAGAGTTGGCGTTGAACATAAAACATTCTCAGAAGCAAAACATGAAAGAAATTGCACTGAGTCTAGAATGGGAGATTTATTCTGAAGAGGCCATGAGACATGGGGCAGTACTATTTTTGTCATATTTTAAAGCACAAACCTTTCTGCTATTAAAAAAGTATTCAGAGGGTAAAGGCAGCAAATGAACTTTAGATGAACAAAGACAGTATCATTCTACACAAAAGCATCTTCCACAGCAAGTTACTGGTAATAAACAAACATGACAGCAGCAAAAAGTAACGAGATGACAAAGGCATCAACACTAAACAAAGGTGGTAGGAAAGCAAGAAGTATCTTCTTAAACTGTCTCCTTTCACCATTACGAATGCGCTAAAGACACAAGGATTCCAGAAAAAGTAAGAGAACCTGGGTACAAATAAAAAGATTCTTGCTTCTTATGTTGAGTACTGAAGGGAACCATAAAAGAATGCTCATCTCTTTTTGTCTCAAGAAGACAGCCTTGAAAATACTTTCAAAAAATGAGTCATTGCCCTTTAATTTTTTTTTAACCACACAAGTGAAGATAACTACAAATGGTAGGAAGCCGAGCTGTGGAAGTATGTATTAAATAACTAATGCTTGACTGACGGGCTGGTTAAAGTCCTAGTCCCTTCTCACCTCTGCAAAAACACACCTGGGGTCCGTACTACCTCCTGACCGAGGCGGGGTGGAAGCACACAACAGCACAGCATGGCGTGCTTAGAGAAAAGATGAGGTGTTTGGTCAGGAGTTTGTCCTGCTATCATCATCTAATGAGAAAGAAATTATTCTATCATTTCAACCACCAATCCCAGTGTACAAATCATTGGCCAGTATATATTTACTTAGCTTTTTAAATGAGTTTCACTCACAGGTCATATGCTAATAAGAAAAAACTTAAATTTCTCTACGCTTGTCCAAAGTAATCTTTTCCCATCACAAGGACCCAATATTTGAATAAGGGTAAAATACATTCAAGAATATTTTTTGGAAGTTAACATGTTTACAATAGGGCCATAACTCATGTATTGCTGCCAGGCGGCTTGAACCACTGGCGGTACATGCATGACTGCCCCATCGGGCAGTTTTTATCAACTTTATTAGTAAAAAGACTGATAAAAGTGATTAGATCCATTTATACCAGTAGTGGTGCAAGCCAGTGGGAACATGTTAATAGAGGCAATGTAGAGAAAAAAAGGGATATATTTTGCAGTTAGGCTTCTCAATCTTAGCTCTGCCATGTTCTTGTTGGAAAACAGTTACCAAGTCCAGTTCTTAATACTTAGATGTCAGTGTTTACTTACCTTATCCCTCTGAGTAACTTAAAATTCTGAACTTCCAACTCTTTCGCATGCAACTGAGGTGCTACCACCTACCTCACAAAGTTGTTTATGAACATTAGTGTTCTCCCTGTCTCCTCCTCAATTTTCAACTATTGCATTCCAGGAACACAGAGAAATAACCGAGACTTCACAGTGGCTGCTGCATTATATACAGCATTTGTCACAATACAACAGACATTTCTCAAGTAGGCTTATCAGATCTATGACTCCCCTCCCAGTGCGCTCTGGGGTTTAAATCTAGTCTTCTAACACCTATGCACATATTATATGCTCACTATTAAAATCCCTTACTAAGGCAACAGATAAATCCACAGAGGGAGACAGAACAGGTCAACAAGTCATTAGACTATTAAGAAACAAAGGGTCCATTTGTTTCATCAATTCTTGTAAAGCTTGGCTCTGAATCACTAGGGGAAAATTCACACTAGCACTGTACAACAGAAATTTCTGTGATGACAGAAATGCTCTATATCCGCCATGTCCAGTGTCCGCTAGCCACACATAGCTACCGAGCACTTATAGTGCTATGTGATGAAAGAACTGAGTTATAAATTTTACTTAATTCAATTCAACTTCAATTAACATTTAAATAGCCATTGATTGTTAGTGGCTGTCATATTAGGGAATGCAGGGATGGAAGATTTCCAAGTCCAGTACACATTAATCAGACATTAATATTTCTCTACCTTGTCCTCGTTCTATGGACACTGGTCCACTTCCTGGCATCCCAAGTTGAGACTGCATTCCTCCTGGAAGATAAAGGGCAGGAAAGAAAGACAAAAATCAGTACAGTGGAAAAGAAGATAGAATAGTGGCCAAGCTTACTTTATTCTGCCTTCACAGGAGAAAATCTACAAAAGCAGATGGTACCTATCACTCAACAATGCAGTTAAAACTAAGAGGGGGTCTCTTAGTATACTTCATCCTTCAGTGACGGAAGTCAGTTCGGGAGGAGTACTTCCTCTCAGTGACTATCAAAGCCATGGCAGAAAGCTGTTCTGAAATACAAGAAAACAATGCCACTTACCCACAGACCTCCTCTAACGAAAGGCAGTATATTTTATTCCCTGGGTGTTCTGTATATGTGTAGGTACTATTTCAGCTGTGACAGAGATTTGTGAGGGCAGAGCTAGCATTGAGAGAGAAGTTGCCAGGGACATGAAATGTCCTGAAATGTGTGAGACAGTCCTACAAAATCAAGAATTACCTCATGTCTTGCAAAACTTTCAAATGTCTTACTAAACATTCAATTGAAAACCTGCTTATAGTCACCTGAAATTAGAAACTCAGTCTATTTTACTTGTAAACACAATGGTTCTTTGCACTTTTTGTATTTTTCTTTTTGTAGTACTGGGGACTGAACTCTGGACCTTTGTACTGAGCTATATCCCCAACCCTTTTCAAAAATATTTATTTTATTTTGAGACAGGGTCTTGCGAGGTTCAACTGCCCAGGCTAGGCTTGAACTTGTAAACCTCCTGCCTTAGCCTTCTAGAGCTCTGGGATTACAGCAGATGATCATGATGACACCCAGCTGTTTGCACTGTGTGTGTGTGGGGGGGGGGGCAGAAAGAGAGAGAGAGCGAGCAAGTGCAAATATATTATGTATTTACCGAGTACTTGCCAGAAATGCAATTACAGGGTAAATTATGGTGTGCAATTTGTTTCAACAATTTTATTGTAAGTTTTCTCTATTTCAAAAAATCAAGTCTTTGGAATATCTGAGTTGCCGAAAGAATGCCTCTGCCCCATTTTTAGTTTTTACTTTGGTGGTATCAGTACAAACACGTGACACATGCTAACTGACAAACAGGAGAAACAGTATGAACACCTGACACATGCTGTTTTTTAATGCAACTGTGCCCAAACATTTACATATTAATGGTATATTATAAATGCATGTCCTTTTACCTCTCATTATATAGTTAGGGCATTATACTGACTTTTTGAAATGGTACATAGGTTATGTCATCTATGCATTTCCTTTTAGGATAGTAAAGTCATTGCAAAATATCTATTATGAAAAGGGACTAGGTTAAACAGGGTTTAGAACCACTTGTCTACCTTCGCCAGCTGGGGTATGATGACCTCTATACAAAGAGTACTTAGGCACCACAAGTCCATGTATGGTCCCTTCCACATAGCCATAGTTTTCTTCCCTCAAAGGAGAAATATAGACAGTGAGTGGGGAAAAAGAGAGGCTCACCTGTTTGCAGTTCATTAACATTTCCCTAAAATGGCAAATATATATCACATTCTGTTTCAAATAATAAGCCAAGAACCAAAGAGCTCTAGATTAAGAACCTAAAGAAATGTTTTAAGAATTTTATTATACGTTTTCTGAATTTCAAAAAAATCAAGTCCTTGGGGAAAGTGAGTTGCCAAAAGAATCCCGTGACCTGCCCTTAAAATAACTGACTCTGAACAAATGATTTGATAAAATGAATACATTCCTAGGCTTTCTCATCAGTAAAATAAATTGGTCTAAACGGTGGTTCTCAGAACGTGGTTCCCATACCAGCAATATCAGTAGCACCATGAAATCTGTTAGAACTGCCAATTCCCAAGTCCTCACTGCAGCAACCCGTGTTGTATAAGTCCCTTACATAAGCCTCTAACATAAAGGTTGAAAACCACTAGTATAAATAATTTCAAAGTTCCCTTCTAGCCATCTTTTTATTCTATTCATTTGATCCAAGCCAATCATTAAGACAATACAAAACTCAGGATATGAGTAAAAGGATAGCAGAAAACATTATGAGCGTAATTTCTTGTATCATGCATCATTATGTAACAGCATTTTTACTTGTATATGTTAGTCTCCCAGAAGTGGAATTTGTGGGACATCATGTATGTTCATTTTCAATGTTAGATCCCTTTCTTGAAAGGCTGAAGAACTTCACATTTCTATCAGCAATGTACAAGTACCACTTTCTCTATCAAGGTCATCTCTCTCTTTGATACTTACTAGCCTGATGGGTTTTCATGCATTCTCATTGTTAACTTGTAATCCCCCACCTGTAAATAAATGTGTTTATATTGGCCATTTGGTTCTGTTCTTCTATGACATTCTTGCGAATTTTCTTTGTCCACTTTTTTACTAGGTTGTTCTCCCTGTTCTCAGCAATTGTCAAAGAGCTTTGTACAGGGTAACCTAAAAAACTTCATAAAGTTTTAAATTTTAATAAATTCAGAGCCAGGTGTGGCTGCACACTCCTGTAACCCTAGCACTTATGTGAGGCTGAGGCAGGAGGATCACCTTGAGTTCAAGGCCAGTCTGGGATACATAACTGAGTTCAAGGACAGCTTGCATCACATAGTGAGACCCTGACTCAAAAAACCCAAAAATAATAATAATAAATTCAGAAGTATAAATGCTACAAACTCAAAAAATATCACTTAAAAGTATATTTAAATCTTACACTTTCATTCAACTTTTACCATGTTAATTTCCTCTTCTTGGTGTTTCTAGTTTGACTTTTCTAATTCCTTAAAACTAGTTTTTCTAATACAGGTATTTGAGAACATTCATTTTTCTTTAAGCACTGCCTTCCCTGTTTCCTACACTTTTTTTTGTGAAGTACATACACACTTTTTGTTTTCCTTTACATAATTTATAAATTTTTTATTTCCTTTTTAATTCAAAGATTAATTACAGTATGGCCCTCAATATTCCAAGTAAAGATTTTTCTCAGCTGACTTTTAATTATGTTTCTAATCTTACTGACTTATAATTTAAGAATGTGGTCTATAAAACCTCCACTTTTCTAATTTGTTAAAGTTTTATTTTATGGCTAAGTACGTGGTCTGTTTTGTTTTTCTAAACTGTTCTGTGGTCATCTGGAGTGAGGAGTACATTCTGCAGCCAAGATACAAAGGATCCTCTATATATTAAGTGGAACTTGTTGATTTTATTATTTAATCCTTCAATATGCATATTATTTTCTGTTCACTAGCACAATGCTACTCAAAGTGTGATCCATAGCTGGTGCTTATCTAGAACCCATGTTAACAGTTTATGACATAGTAAATACAGAAATGCAGTGCAGATATTTAGGAATTTCTGTAGCAATTGATGTTGGTTGGACAGAAGTATATGGTCAAGGCACTCAGCTCAGTAAACAGGCTACAGATCATTCTGAGTGTTAAGTCATGTAATGAGCCTCATAACATATTTGTCATGCACACTTGCATACTTGTCATGTGCAGTAGGACCACAGTAGAACTTGTGGTGGTATTTTAAGGTAAGCAAGGCACATGCAACTCAGAAATATATAAAATATAGAACCCATTTCTTTCACTGAAAGATAATAAAACTATAGCTGTACTAAGATAAAGTGAATAAATGAAAATTATGCATTTGCTAAAATTTCATTGAAAGTCTTCTATTCTTTTGTCAACAGCTCTGTAGACTGGTTTCTCTACAAAAGAGAAGAATTTAGATTTTAATTATCTTCTATGAGTAGTGGTGGTGTCAATCTAACCCAGGTTAAAAAAATTAACAAGTTTGCATAAAAAATATAAAGACTGATACTCCACCATGTGTTAATACAGGTATCTCATATGAGGAATTTATGACAATTGTTGAACAATGAAAACTTACAAGTGTAATAGCAACACTCTATTAACTGCCTACCTACATGCTTTCAATGAATGTGCAGCTATTAAATTTTCTTTTTGTTGGTTGGCTTGATTGTATTTATAGAAATGCAACTTTATCCATGTGTTTTGTGCCTGTAAGTTTAAACTTAATAATCTCTGCTTTTAACGGGAGAATTCAGTTCATGCACATTTAACAGAATAAAGACTATATTAGTTTTTATTCCTTCCACATTAGTCTATATTTATCACTTATTTTATATTGTCTTTTCTATTTTTCCTGGTTTGATTAGTTTCCATTCTTTCTATCACTTCCCTCTTTAATCTGAAGATTTACTGTATTTTGTGCTTACTACTTTCCTACCATCACAAGACATATAGAATTTGTATATAAGGGATAATCTATTTCCTCCACGTAGGATATACACTTTCTAGCTATATACTAATTTTACATCAAGATCCTATTATCACATAATTTGGTCGCACTGCAGTAGTTGCTAAGACAATACTTTATCAAAGTAACAAAATGGTGAAGTCTCTAAAAGAAACTTACCTCCAGGAGCTAAGGAACCAGGGCCAGGTCCTGTTACAGCAGCTGGTATCTGCCCTGGTGCTGGAACCGCACCTTGCATAGAAGCTTGCATCAGAGGAGGTGCGCCATTGACGTGCATTCCACCCTGACCAAGAGAAAAACTACAGTATAGACATGCCTCTGTGCAGACTCAGTATTGAGTCTAGGACCCAATGGTTGTCTTAAAATTGGCAGTCCCAAATAGTCTACCAAGCACCCTTTTTATACAGCATGTCTCGTGACATCAGATTTATCACATACTTTGAATTCCACAGGAGCAATTTGCAAAATATGCCACCTGTTTGGTTATGTGCATACAGTTAAGATGGAGCACATCCTAGTGTAGAGACTGAGAAATCTTATCTGTGGAGATTTTTTTTTTTTTTTTTTTGTTTTTTTCCGTTACCAGGAACCGAACTCATGACCTTGCGCTTGCCAGGCAGGCGCTTTTGCCGGTGAGCTAAATCCCCAGCCCCAAGAAATCTTATCTGTGACAGGTAGGATTCAGCACACATTCTTGACTTCACAACTGGGGCTTAGCAATAAGAGTTAAAGACAAAAAAGTGCCTTGAACTCAAGAAGACAAAGAGGAAAGCAGCTAGTAGCAAAATGTAGCAATAAAACATTTCTGAACACCACTAAAGATTATTAAGTTATTTGCCTTTTGTCTATCATATGTGTGGCAAACACTTTTTTTCCATTTTGTCATTTGTCTTTGGTATTTATTTTGCCTTCCCTCTGCCATATAGAAAATTTTCAGTTTTTAAATATACTAGCTGGGCATGGTTGCACATGCCTGCAATCCCAGCACTGAGGAGGCTGAGGCAGGAGGATCACTGAGAGTTTGACACCAGCCTGGGCCATACAGTGAGTTCAAGACCAGCCTGAACTACACAGCAAGATCCTGTCTCAAAAAAAAAAACCCTGTACAGGTATTAATATTTTTGGCTTTAGCATTCTGTGTCATAATTGGGCAGTGAGCTTTACTTTTCTCATTGGTGACAATGGAGCTAGTAAGAATGTTGACCTCACACATCTTTTGTGAGGATTAAATGAGATAATGCTATGGAATAATGGAGTGCCATGCATAAACAAAGTTAACTTATAGGAAAAGGGAATGCAGGAAGTTTTTCTTTGATTTAAAAACTTGGAATGGAATCTGTATTCATTCAGATGCCATGTGCTCTACAACCCAGAAATTGCTCTTATGCCTCAAAATGAAAATTATCATCTCTGGCTTCTGATCATTCTTCTTTCAATATAATTTCCTAAAAAGAAAATGACATGCTAAGACAGGTAAAAGAAAAGTTAAGGGATAAATCCCTACCAAAGGCTGGCCCTGAGGGGCTTGAGGATTCTGTTGGTTCACTGACACATTGGCTCCTGAGCCCGGCCCAGCACCGTGGACTGCTTGAGGATTACCTGTAATCAGCGTTGGGATATTTGTCTGGCGATGCAGTATTTTCTAAAAAGTAAAAACACAAACCAATGAGCAATCTGTTCAACAAGACAATCAGGTAGTTCCTATCCTGCTCGAAGTTTAGCCTACCATTTCCATAAAAGAAAGGGAAGCACTCACCAGGGCAATCTCTGGATCCACAATTCTCATCACTACCTGTGCTTGCAGCAAAGCATAAGCCAGCTGTGGGTTCTGAAGCAGCATGTTCCGTGCTTCCTGGGGACTATTCTGGACACAGAGCTGAGAAGAAAAGCAGATTTATCATCAGGTGCAATACTTACTACCTAAAAATTATGATTTAAAGACATTCTCATCTTAGAGATGTAATATTTCACAGGCTTTTAATCTCAGCTAAATTATTTAGGCTAAGTCTGTTTGTGTAGAAAAATATACTGTGCATACATAGAATACTGAAGGTACAATGAATGCTTATCTATAGACACGACTTCTTTTTGCATTCAAGGAACTAGATCCATTAATTCATAACTTATCAATAACTCCTTGAAAATCTGATGTGAACTGCTTTATTTATAAGCTAGAGCCTACTCTCACCTTCATTTGTTTCATCAGCTCAAACATCTGCTCTGGTGGAAGACTGGCAACTGCTTTGCTAATGGACTCGGGGGCATCCTCAGGACTGATGGTCTCTCCATAAGGTGACTCAATGACAGGGGCACCAGTGCCAAGGCCTGATCAGGAAGACAGTACAAGAAAGTTAGGCAGGCAAAATAAAAAGCTAAATCATTTCAAGTATTTCTTTTCTTTTTTTTTTGGTTTTTCTCCGGTACCGGGAACCGAACTCACGACCTTGCGCTTGCCAGGCAGGCACTTTTGCCGCTGAGCTAAATCCCCAGCCCCCAAGTATCTATTTTCTAAGGCTGCTTTTAAACACCAATTGATAATTTAAAATTCTCTGAATCTGAGAAATAAATCATCTGAAAATCTTGTTTCTGAGAAAAAAGATGAGAATGTATTTTCTGTCCTTTTTGTTTGTTTTTTTGAGACAGGGTCTCACTCTGCAGTCCAGGCTGGCCTTGAGCTCACTCTGCAGCCCAGGCTGGTCCGGAACTCGCAATGATCCCCCGTCTCAGCCTCCCAAGTGCTGGGATTACAGGCGTGCGCCACCACGCCCAGCCCACATTTTCTGTTCTTAGAGGAAAGCTGGCACTGTGGTCACACAGATGGACAATATTAACCTAAGTTAGAGAATCAAGCTGTTGACTTCTTTTGACAAGTCATTTCACAAGAAAACGGTTTACATAGACAAAGCTGTTAACTTTAAGACAGAACTGCTGGATCTACTGCCTCATGAAAAAAGCCATAAAAATGCCTTAGTACCCACACCAGCTACAGATCTGGCAATATGGTCACAGGACTGATTAATGACATAGCACTACTAATGGCTTGGTAGAACTGAATTCATCTAAGTGGAAATCAACTCCTCAGCACCCAAAAGATTTCTACTAAAGTCAATATTACCTTGTTCCTCAAAGATACTACTTCCCCAACTCAGGCGCCTCAGGCTGGCCAAGTGAAGAAGCTGTGTGTTATATTCTAAAACATATCATGAAATTTTTCATTGTTACATCTCTACTAACTCATAATGCATACAACTTGGGTGTATACTCACTCTTCAGCTCTTCTTTGTTCTTTTCACTGGCAGCATTGTCAACTCGAAGTGCTCTCCCACTGAATTCACGCCCATTCAGGTTCCGCATGGCACTAAGAGCTGTCTCTTGGTCTTGGTATTCACAGAAGCCATAACCCTTTGGTTTTCCTGTCTCTCTATCATATACCAATCTGGAGAGCAAAACCAACTATCAGGCACAAATACTATATACACGTACTATACAAAGTTTCTGCTAACACTGCCAGGCTCTAATTTGGCTCACTGTAATATAACTAACTTTATAACTCAGATGCCTCACTGAACTATTTTAAAAACATTTTTAATGAAAAAAAATCTTTTAGGTAAGAATGAATGTGAACTGCATATGTACATTATATCAATAAAGCAGTTAACAAAAATAAAATGCATGTGAGAAGTTATCATAAAAAAAACCCTTGCCATTATTGCTACAGGCCAAATTTGCAGCGATTTTTAAGAATCTCCCACCAAAAAGTAGAAGATCTCACCTGAAACTAACAACAGGTCCAACCTCAGAAAAGATGTCCTTCAACTGCTCTTCAGTAGCTTCATAAGGAATGTTACCCACTAAGGAATAGATAACATGTTACAATTCTGAGTTTGTAACCTAGAGCCTTAGTGAGAATGTATCTACTTACACACAGATCACATAGTATCTACTTATGTTACTGAATATGTAACAACTGGCTCAAAATGGTGTTCTCCAAAACCCACTTGGATTCTATGTGTCCAGATCTCTCAATAAGGGAAACAAACCACTGAGACAAAATCCCAAAGGGATTCATACTACTCTCAGAGTTCTGTTGGATCTGACAAGTATTAGCTTGTCCTTAATTTTGACTAACAGAAGTATGTAAGCATTGGTATTTACCTGGAGGCCTCCAAGTTTTATCAGTGACTACTAAAACTATTACAATTTTAAAAACAGGTCGTATATCCACATTTCTACACATACATACACTTATGGGAGAAAACGATGGGCATTGTGGAGGATGTTTAAAATTTATTGTTTTGTCATGTCTCTTTTGGAAGGATGCTTTTAAAACCACATTTTAAAAAACAATGTATTGTAGCCAAGAAAATTACTTAGAATAGTTTAAATCCTCTCTAAAATTCCTCTAAAGGGGTTTTGATCATTCTTTCTTTCATTCATTTATTTGCAATTCACCTAGACGTCAGGTATCCGCTATGACTATGGATAAACTAAAACGTTACAGGTAAAAAGCAAAGGATGTAAATCCTTATGAGAGGGCAGAAACTGGATACAGGGACCTAGACACTCAGGATATAATCTGCATTCTGGATGGGAGTAAGACGTACTGTACTACCGAACAGTAAGGCGCTGTTACCGTGCGCCCTTTCTTCCACAAAAATAATCGGAGATCGTGAAGGAGTAATGCATAGAAGATGAACACTCGTTTAACTCTCTTGGTACCGAGGAAAACCTCAGAGGCCTCAGGAAGAGAAGCATTTCTTTGCCCACGAGGTCGGCCGCCCCACAGGACAGGCAGGGAAAACGGCAAGCCCGACCCATCGCCAGCTTTCGTGGCGACTGCAGAGGTGGGAGGTGCAAGAGGGCGTTCCTCGACGCTCCCCTGCCTCTTTCTGTCCCTCCCTGTTGCTTGGTTCCACAGAATGCCTCTCACCGAATACAGAACGTAGGGAACGATCCACGGCAGGGTCTCTCACAGTCAATCCCGCCATTGCTCTCTCCAGCGGCTTCCGGCGGCCCGCGGCACACGGCCTCACTGCGCGCGATCGCGGCTCCGACCGCGCTTCCGCAGCGCGCGGCACCCGGAAGCGCGCCCCGTCCCGCCCCGCCGCGCGTCGTCGCGGCGGTCGCGCGTTTTGTGACTTGAAGGACTCACTCTTACCCCGAGGGCTTAACTCCGTTCTGCGTGGGATTCGGACGGGGCCAGGCTAACTTGAAGGCTACCTGCCTGCACAATTCCTTACTAATTTTCCTTTTAGGCTGACGCAAGTATTAGTTGGCCACAATAAAGATGGCGGCGACGGCTTTACCGTGGTAATAAAGAAGTCATTTGGTAACAGCTTGGGCACTTTCATTTTAGTCCCGCCCTATTGGGGGCGGGATGCGTGTGCCCGCCCCAGCAGCGTGTGCGCGCCCCAGGAGCGTGTGCGCGCCTCAGGAGCGTGTGCGCGCCCCAGCAGCGTGTGCCCGCCCCAGCAGCGTGTGCCGTATTTTGCTGAAGTTGCGGGTGTGCGAATTGAGATGAGCCAACTGTAACGGCAGACCGAAGAAGGTGAAGATACACTGCGTTTAATGTCAAGGCTGTAACGTTAGTGAGGGGGTGGAGATTCAGAGAACAGACCCCACTTGGAGTCCATGGGCTTCGAGTACTTAGTAGTGGAGCAGTGCAGTAGAGCACATTTGCAGGCAAAATTTGGAAACTGAACAAAATATCATTGACTGGTTGTTGCCATACTTTGGTGCCCATGCTCCTGGGCGGTGGCATGCAGGTCTACAGTAGTTGCCAGTCCTTCTAAAGACAGATCCTCCTGGGGTTGAAAGAAATCAGTACCAGAGCACCTGAAAACAGGGTTAGGGAAGAAAAAGAAGAGGGCTGTGTTCGAGCAAACTGCTGTCTGAAAAAGGAAATCGTAGATAATACCGTAGGCACAGAATTTAAGGCACGGACATTTTTTATTCCATACACATTAGAAGAGAGTGTGCATAAGTCTTAGGTAGAAATCTAAGAAATATTTTAGAAAAGAGAAACAAGTGCTACTTTACACTTGTAAAGTCTGTATCATTTCAAGGAGTAATTCTGGGGAAAAAGTTTTGGAAGAATATTCCTACTTCCATGACTGGAGTCCATTTGCGATCATTGTGTGACTTATAGAACGTCTTGTGTAGTAGACTAACCCAAAGGAGTATTTACAGCTCTACGAAAGGCACAGTTTCAAAGTTTTGGGGTTACTCACTGTTTCACTGTGGTGAACTTTTGCTAAATGCATGTATGGGCAAGTATATTTTTAACCTAATGTTTTCCAAACTTAGATGGACAAAAGATTCAACTAGGGTGGTAGGAGTAGAGATGCTTGGGGTTTCATCCCAAGTCTGTAAAATGGGATTCCCAGCAAGAAATTTGAAAGACATTATTTTTAAACAAATGCTCCTGGTAGTTTTCATGGTCAAGCAATTTAGATAGCACTGTAGTTACTGAGATAGCTTTATGACAATATTTAGGATAACCAGACTTTCTTATCAAATTTCTGTTATAGTACTCAATTTCTTAGGCCAAAGCTACCCTTTGTGTGTGTGTGTGTTTAGGGGGGTTGGAAATGTACAGGAGCATTTTTGTTGTTGCAGTGACTAGGGGAGGACTATTACTGGAGAAAGAGCAACCAGATTTGATAAGTGGACTGCCATGTCCAGTATAGACCAGTGAGTCCCTCACCCTATCACATCCCAATAATATCTCCCCTTGAGAAACACTGTTAACATTAGTTGTACTGGATCAAAGGGACCCTGGATCTGAAGGCCATAATGTATTACTACCTTTGCATGCATAACTTATACGTTGGTACAGCTGTGCAGCTGATCCCAATAAAAGCTAACATTTATTGAGCACTTGTTGTGTCCTTTTTTTGTGTTAGTTTTCTATGGACGTGTTATACATTTCCACAAGCTTAGTGGCTTAAAACATTATTCTTTTTTTTGGCTCACAGTTCTTCAGGTCAGAAGTCCAGGCAGACTTGGCCCGGCTCTTGTGCTTAGAATTTTACAAGGCTGAAATCAGCCTTGGGCTCTCTGGGGGCATAATTATTGGCAGAATTTGTTTCTTTGTGGTTTTAGGATTGGGATTGTTGTTTCCGCACTATTTTCTGGGAAATTGTTACTTACAGCTCCGAGAGACATGGCTGGTCTTTGCATGTGGGTTACTACATCTCAGAGCCAGCAATGGCAGAGTAAACCTTTTTGTTTTGAATTGTTGACTACTTCTGTGACCAGCTGGGAAATATTCTGCTTTAACTTTTTACTTTTACTTCATGGGGCCGGGGATCAAATCCATGGCTTTGTGCATGAAGTGCTTTATCCCCCACCCCATACTCTACTTTTAAAGGGCTTTTGTGTTTAAGCCATGCCCATTTAGGTAATATTCATAAAGTAAGGTCAGCTGTGTTATGTAACATAACCAAATCATGAGGGTAAAATCCATTATGATCCTATGAGGCCCTGGGAATTATGCAGACAAATACATAGGGGTTCATAAAATCTTGAATGCCATCTTGAACTGCCTACCACTCCTATTGATAAACATGTTTAAAGAAGTTTAGGTAACTTGCTTTAGGCCCTACAACAAGTAACAAAGGCAAGGTTTGAACTCAGGTTGCTTTGGTGCCAGAGACTTTTTCTTTGGTGTTTTTTGTTGTTGTTGTTGTTTTTTTCTGGTAACAGGAATCAAACTCACGACCTTGCGCTTGCCAAGCAGGTGCTGTGCCACTGAGCTAAATCTCCAGCCCCTCGAGACTTCTTAATGCTATATCCGCTGCCTCCCAGCATAAGTGAAAAAATGTGGATGGTTCAGTATATTTTATTATCATTTTTGGAAAAGAGTGTAGAGCATATGACCTGATTATGATGGGTCAATTGTTTATAATAATGAACCACCTAAGTTAGAAGTCCACAACCAGAGCTTGTGCTGCTATCATCAACGATCTGTGGAAAGTGTACCACAGCAACTAAACCCTCTCTACTAGTTATAAAAGAGGGGATGTGTGCAAGGGATATATCCTAAGTGGTTTTTATTTAATCTTTGGGTTTCCCTTAAAGGCTCTGTGCAAATGAGTCCCCCAGGCCTCAGTGACTGACAATCTTTTCCCATCATTGAGACATTCTTCTGCGACAGTAATTCTTTTCGCTCTGGTTTATAGCAAAATGAAGACAGAAGATGGTGCATTTGAACCTGTTGTAGGTAGTATGCCTGAAGCATCAGTTCACAGTGATATAGGTGTAATATTAAGAGATAGGGAGAACATTAGAAAAGAAGCATTTCTGCTTAAATGGTACTAAAAGATATAAATGTTTCTTGGGGATGTGAACAGAAGAGGAAAGAACACATAATGGACAAAGAATTTGGGAAACTATAGTTAAAATTTGTGGGGCAGAAAGTTTGTGGAAAATTCCTGAATTCTTAACCAATCATGTTGATGAGACTATAAATCTTGAGTGAGATACTATACATGTAAGTGAAGGAAGAAAAGATATTCAAAGTTGTAAGGGCACACAGACTTGGGTTCTTTGTCCTGGTGATAGAAGGCCAAATTTCCAAGGCTAAGGTAAGTACTACATTTTGATCCATATTTAAAGCTCCTCAAAGAGTCATGAAATGAAATCCCTCATTGGCCCTACAGGGAAAATCTGAAAAGGTAGCATAGTTATCATTGCATAGATGTCATATAAGAGTGGTAGTATTATCTGTGTTGGGAGAAAGACTTAGTGAACAGCACCTAGAAGAACTAAAGAAACTTGAAGTCCCCAGGAAGTACTTCAATACTGATACAGATTCTAAGCAATATGTGGATGAAGGTATCAATTGCTTTGCTTTCTGGGAACATTATTCCTAGGTTCTGTAAAGTTCTATTATTAAGACAGGTCACACGGCATTATCTATACTTTCTGGGAATATTTGAAGGTTCAGCCTGAACTGCAATGACGGTGAAACTTCTAGAGCTTTCACTGACAACAAACAGTTGGCTACAGCACATGTGCCATTGGTTCACCACTGTTATGATTTGTGTCTAGATGTCCCCCCAAAGCCTCATGCAGTCATGGGGTGGGCTTCTAGAGTATATAATTGATCCTTGACCCAATGCTAGGATTATGGGTGTGAATGTTATACCTGCTCTGGGGCGGGTAGTTTACATATAATATAAAGGAGGGAAAGAGGCTTGCTCTTCCCTCTGCCTCTCCTCCATTTTCCTCTAATTGCTTTGCTATCTTCTGCCACCATGAACTGTTGCCCTCTGCCATGTGCCTTGGAACCAGCCAAGTATGGATGGAAACCTCCACAAACTGAGCTAAATAAACCTTTCCTTCCTTAATTTTGGGCATTGGGCATTTTGTCTCAGTAATGACAGAAAAGTAACCAAGACAACCACATATAGCCTAAAAACTAGAGTTCTTAAGTTCATCCAAGTGGGTCATTTTGGTGTTTTCTTTTTTGATTATTTTTTAAAATTAATTTTATTGGTACATTTTAGATCTACATAGTGATCATGATCATCATAGGGAATTTGTGCCTGTACATAATGTATCTTAATGATGCTTTTCCTCCCGGTCCTCTCCCCTCCGTTCAACCCCTCTTGCTCTCCTTATGTACAAAAACTTTGTTTCCATTTTTTCCTTCTATTCTCTTTTTCCTTTCTCTTCCTTCCTTCCTTCCTTCCTTTCCTCTCCCTTCTTCCTTTTCCCATTTGAACATTTTCTTCCTGTTTCACAATATCTATTATATATTTTGGTCTTTATTTACCCTTTTGGTTTCTCACACCAGAGAAACAATGTGGTATTTAAACATGTGTGTCCAATTTATTTCACTTAAGAGTATGGTCTCAAGGTGCATTCATTTACCAAGAAATGTCTCAAGCTTATCCTTCTTTATGGCAGAGTAGTGCTCTGTTGTATCAAAAAAACCCGTATCATCTTTATTCATTCATTGGTTGATGGGCATTTGTGTTGTTACCAAGATTTAGCTATTACAAACTGTGCTAATGTAAAATGGTTGTGGATAAATGGTATGGTGGTATGATGATTTAATTCTTTTGGAATAATACCAAGAAGGGCAATGGCTGGGTCAAATGGAACCTCTAGTTTTAGACTTCTTAAGAAACTCCTGATTTTCACCGTGGTTGCACCAGTCCAAACTCCCACGAACAGTGGAGAAGGGTTCCTTTTTCCTTACAACCCTGCCAGCATTTGTTATTGGTTGATTTCTTGATAATAACGTTTCTGGGATGAAATGGAATCTCAGTGTTGTTTCAATTTACATCTCTTGAATGACCAGTGATGTTGAACAGTTTTATTTTCCATTTCTAC